TTCAGAATTTTTGAGAAGAATGTCAAATTCAGAAAATATTGATTTTTGAAGGGAATATTACTTTGTCGCATTGTTTTTTAAGAATTTTTTTTTTTAAATGAGTGTATATTTTTTTAAATAATTTTTTGGGTTTTATTTATTGTAGTTTTCAAGATGAAATTTTTATTTTTTTTAAATAAAAAATATGAATAATATTTGACATTTCATAAATCCATTTCCTCTTTGCATCGATTACAGAGATCGTCGGCGACTATAAATCCCCCCCCAGTGAAATAAAAAAATAAAACTTCATTTTAATCACACTTGCGATTATCATATGAACTAGAATAATTCATTTCGCGCAATAAATAAATGACACTTGTTTTTATAAAAAGTTTGATTTTTACGTTTTTGTAAAAATGTTTTCAAGCTCCAAAAAATATAAAAAATTAAATTATTAAAGTAATTCCAGTTTCGACAATAAAAGAATGTGTATTTTATAAGCCCTTAAAATTTGAAACCAATGTAAAATTTTTTTTTTAATCGTGATCGCCAGTTTCGTAAAAAATTGTTTCGAGAAAATTGCGTTTAAAGCTTGTATTGATATTTTTGTGCAGATAGATAGAATTTTGTAACAAAGAACTAAAATTTCGACTTGGGAATTGTCTTCCATAACAAAAGAATGTAGCGACGAGAGTGGAAAAAAGGAAACTGTATATAATATAAGGTGTACAACTTTGCTTCCGCCGTTTTTTTCTGAAATTCGAGGCTTTATTGTAAAAAAACTGGTTATACATTTATGATTCAAAGTATTGTCCATCGCTGGCCACTACTTTCTCCCATCTTTCGGGTAGCGTACGAATCCCGCGTCGAAAAAACTGGTCATCTTTTGAGGCTATCCACGAATCGATCCAATTTTTTACTTCTTCATAAGACCGGAAGTGCTGGTCAGTCAAGTCGTGTGCCATTGATCGAAACAAGTGATAGTCAGAGGGAGCAACGTCTGGAGAATACGGCGGGTGGGGTAGGACTTCCCATTTCAACGTTTTCAAGTATGTCTTGACCACTTTCGCAACATGGGATCGAGCATGTTGCAAAATCACTTTATCGTGTCTCTCGTTGTATTGCGGCCGTTTGTCTTTCAATGCTCGGCTCAAACGCATCAATTGCGTTCGATACCGATCGCCTGTGATTGTTTCAGTCGGTTTTAACAGTTCATAATACACTACGCCGAGCTGGTCCCACCAAATACAGAGCATGACCTTGGAGCCGTGAATATTCGGTTTGGCCGTCGACGTGGAAGCATGGCCGGGAACTCCCCATGATTTTCTGCGCTTGGGATTATCGTAATGAACCCATTTTTCGTCCCCAGTCACAATGCGATGCAGAAATCCCTTCCGTCTTTGCCTTTCAAGCAGCTGTTCACAAGCAAACAAACGCCGTTCAACATCTCTCGGCTTCAATTCGTACGGCACCCAATTTCCTTGCTTCTGAATCATTCCCATGGCTTTGAGGCGTTTTGAAATGGCTTGTTGAGTCACTCCCAATGATCGTGCCAATTCTTCTTGATTTTGACACGAGTCTTGCTCAAGTAATGCCTCCAATTCTGCATCTTCGAAAACCTTCTCTCTTCCACCGCTATGCCGGTCTTCGACGTCAAAATCACCGTTCTTGAAGCGTTGAAACCACTCACGACACGTTCTTTCACTAATAGCGGCCTCACCATAAGTATTTGAGAACATTCGATGAGCCTCAGCCGCAGATTTCTTCATATTGAAGCAAAAAATTAAAACCTCCCGCAAATGACGAGAATTTGGCTCGTAAACTGACATTTTCAATCGAGAATAACTTTATGATGCAGACACAAATCAACTAATGTTTCTATGGGGTTATGTTGACAGATGCCCAAGTTTATTGTATGACGTCTATGATCTATTTATTTCGACCACCATTTACCGCTAAAGCCATCTATAGGAAAACGGCGGAAGCAAAGTTACACCTAATAAAATCCTTTCCTACCGACAGCCGTGCTCAGATATCGCGCTGACAGCTGCGCAGTATACAACTGTTGTAATTTCGTTGATATTTCAAATTTTTATATAAAACTTTACAGAGATATTCTACAGTAGACTAAAAGGATTGAAAAAAAGAGTGTAAATCAAGCATTTATAAGTTACTGCAACTATTCTATTATTAATCCATTTAGCCTTTAATTTTAAGTGCTAAAATTTATTAAATATAAAAAAATATACTTTTATCCTGTATAGTTAACTTAATTATTTATATACATATATCATATAATTTTCAGGAATTAAACGATTATTGTTCAAACTATTCTAAAAATAAAAAAGTATCCTTTGATTTCAGTATAGCCTATCCTTGAGGTAATCAGTATATCCTTGCGAATAAAATCTGATTAATAATCTTATATGCATGTAAAGTCGTTAATCAGACTTTATCTGCAAAAATATATTGTTATATCAAAGAATACTTTTTTTATTTTGATTTTTAGACATCAATAATTTACTTATAATAGTACTGTGTATAATAGTCTTCTTCTTCTTCTTTTATTAGGCCTCTGGCCTGTGTTACATCTTTCTCATATGTTTGTGGGACACATACTGATTATTTAATTGCCACGAGTATATGGAAGTTTTTAATCCCGGTTCCAAACGGTGGATTTTTATAGTTCCCATAAAATTTTGATATTTAGAGTATGATTTTAAAACAAACCTTAAACAAAAATAATTGTAGTGTTATAAAGTATATCGACGCCTTAGCTATAAAAGGTGCTATGTCGAAAAAAACATGAAGAAAGATCTCTGTCATGAATGAAAAGCGGTTTACTTCGCGTGAGGCGTGAAGACCGGTCGGAAAGCATATAAAATACGGTATTGAGAAATAAGAAGAACAGTTCAAGTCGAATGAAATTAAAGAAGAATTTAAAATATATTATTATTCGCAATATTCACTACTCATAAGTTACACAAATTTAGTTATGGAAAATTAAATAATATATGAATAAATGAGTATGAGAAACAGGATTGAAAATCACAAGAGACGATTCCCGTTCTTAGTTGTATAAAATCCACTATAAAATTTATGTAAAGAAAATATATTGCGCTACATAACCTCTTCTTTAATTTCATGCGACTTGAATCATTCTTCTCATTTTCTCGATAATAAATCATTCTTGATATATGTTCTGACATAGACCAATTTTTATATCCTTATCCCTTATGCGAAATAGACAGCTTTTCATTTCTTGATATAAACTTTTTATCATGTTTTTCTCGATATTGCAGCTTCTACGAGTCAGGTGTCATATTGTCATTAAAAAATAGTTAATTAATAAAATAATTTACAGCTGTTGTCTTTAAAAAGAAAAAAAAAACAAAGATTATTATTTGAATGTCTCTTTATCTAAAATGTTGTAAATTTATAAAAACTGCATGTCATTGAGAAATAATTACAACTTAGACAGCATACAATATTTATAAAATATTTACAAAATATGTATAAATATTTATAAGACTTGTTTTAAATATTTTGCTTATTTTTAATTTATTTTGTGATGAAGTATATTTAGTAAAATATTCATGATTAGATCATGCATGTAGTCAATGCAAAAAAATATTTAAAATTCGATGACATCAAGTTTCATTGAGGTGAGTTTTTAAACTTTGTTTATTATATAATAAATACATGTTTGGCAATAAATTCGGCATGCAGTGTAAGATCGTATTAATAAGAAAATACGGGATATGAATTGCTTAACTGCAGAGATTAGATTTGATGATCGTGAAACTGCAATGCATGAAGTTCGTAATATGAGACATTTACGGTTTTTCTCATATCATGAGATATCTAACCTGCATACTCGAAACCATAACCTCTTCATAACGATAGCTCTATACTCGAATCACGATCATTGCTGAAATCGTTGCTATACATGATTATTGAAGAACAGGTGATTGGAATAGGTTGCTAGAATAAATGATTATTGTAAGATATTTAAAAAAGAGGAAAAATATTAATTGAAAGAAAAATTAAAGTCATATGTACAAAATTACGAATATGATGCTCAAGGATTATTGGTGGCTGCATTCTAATATTCATTGTCAACAATGTCAACACTGAAAATCTGTAGTATACATTATATGAATTATAGATTTTTAGTATTGGTAATGAATATCAGAATGTAACCATCATATTTTTAATTTCACGGATTATTCGAAAAAAAATCATGTTTTACTGTAAACCATATTCTACTATTGTACATATTTATGAATGATAATTCCTAGAAAGATAAAAGACTTTTTATGTATTTATTAAATTTTTTTATAGAATCTACCATGAAGAAAGGTACATCTCAAACGAGTAATGCGAATAAACATTGACAATATAAACCCGAAGATTTAATTAAGGCTGTGACAGCAGTTTGCAGCGATAAAATGGGCTATTTAAAGGCGGCAAAAGAGTTTAATGTTCCAAAAGGGATAATAGAAAGACATAAATATACAAAAATGAAAGAGGAAAGATCTAACGCTATACTCTTGAAAAAATTAGGCCGGCCACCAATTTTTACTGGCAGTCAAGAGAAACAATTGATACAATACGCGTTAGCAATGGAATCCAAATTTTATAGATTAACGAAACGAGATTTGCAATGCATGGCTGTCAATTTGCTAAAGCAAATAATATACCAAATCCGTTCCAGGAAGAGGCAGCTGGAAGAAAATGGTTCTATAGTTTTATGAATCGATACAAGAATGTATCGATCCTTTCAATGCGAAAGCCAACTGGTACATTATTTACTTGAGCTACTGATTTTACTCGTGAGAATGTTTCTATATTTTATAATTATTTGGATAATGCTTGCGAAAAATACAATTTCACGCCCGATAGGATTTCCAACGTAGATGGAACAGAAATAGTTCAAACAACAAAAACTCCAAAAGTTATAGCTTTAAAAGATAAAGATTCAGATACTTTATGATGTAATTAGATAAAAAAATGAGATGCATCTAGAAGCTGCATTTCGCAAGTGTCCAAATCTTTTATTAGAATGTTAATATTTCGTGAACATTGCAATTTATCAAGACAAGAAACAGCTTGTTACTAAACTACTCCTTTGAGTGATTCAATAGGAAGATAGAGGTAAAAGGAGAAATTAGGGCCATGGCACACAAAAAACTTAAAATAGCAAGATATAAGCAGTAAGGAAATCAACATGTTGGATTGGCTACTAGTTATGTTGTATACGGACTCTACTGTGATTGGTCAATTTGCTTATTGCTTACGTTTTATTGCTTAAGTTTTTTTGTGTGCTGTGATCTTAGTCCATCAATCTTTGATAAGAAATATTTAGAAATCTAATCTGAAGCTGAAAAAAATGTTTTTTATGCCAATTTTATTTTTCAGAGAAGAGATAAATTGGCACCTTAACAGCTTTTGAAAGAGGAAAGTTAATTACTATTGTTATTGCCATGAGTGCTACAGGTACGTACATCCCTCTTAATTTTTCCACGAAAACTTTTGAATGCCCAGCTAATGAGGGGAGCTCTTATAGGCGTAATTGTCCATCCTTTTGGTGGATTTAAACTAATTTATTTACGTACTGGTTCAAACACTTCGTAGAAATTTCAAAGCCATGTGCAGAATCCTCATCACCTATACTATTAATTTTAAATGTATAAAATAGTCATACGCGAAATATTGATGTAATTGACTTGGCATTAAATTTAATCACGTTAGTCACGATTCCTTCGCACTCAAATCATAAGCTCCAGCCTCGATAAAAAAAAATTTTTTTTATAGTTTTTAGTTAAAGTTTTTTTGATAAAAACATTCATAAGTACTTTTAAAACTTACAGCGAAGAAATTGGTATGTAGATACGCAATAATACTCGTCCTCTCTCAGTTCAATGTGAGAGAGTTTTTCAAGAACGCATACGTTAAAGTACAAACAGTTCTTATTGCAATCAGTGGGTTCTGTGAAACTAGTATCTGGCCATTTAATAGAAATCTTTTTACTGATGCCAATTTTATTAAATCGGAGAATGCCACTGAAGAAATTCATCAGATTCATGTTGTTTCTGTTCAACAAAGAATTGAAGAAGATTTATTTCAAACCAAATTTCAGGCACAGGCAACAGAAAACGATCGCGAGAGAGCAGAAATTGACAAAGAGAACTTAAGCCCATCCTTGCCCACTATTCCAGGACCGTCAACTTGCCAGGAAAGAATTGTAAGTCCAGAAGAAATTTCGCCAGCGCCAAAAATTATTCGAAAAGGCAGCACTCGAAGCCGAAAACGAATAAAAAGTTCTATATTATCAGTACTGTCGAATATCGCGAGAAGTTAGTCGGTATGCCGAAAATACAGTTAAAATACAGACAATACCATCTGCGAAACGAGATCGTGAACGAAAATCTCCAGCAATTCAAGTTATAACAGCTCTAACTCCACGCCACGACCGCGATTGCTCACGCTCTAGCTCTTCAGCCATGAATTTAAAATTCTTGACTTAAGTGATTCGGATGATGAGTACTGCAAACAGTCAAAATTAAATGACGAGTGCATTTCTTGCGATGTTCGGTTTGAACTATCCTCAGAGCTCTGGGTCAAGTGCATCGTATACTTACATTGGGCGCACATTGACATTGACTGCGCTGAAAATATTGGATATAAATGGATTTGCGACTTCTGCAAATAAGTTTTTTCATTATATTTTATTATATTTGTATTTGAAAATCATTAAATACAGTTTTCCAATTGCAACACAAATATATTTTACACTTATTAGCAATTTTTCGTTGTATCTCATATTAGGAGCACAATTTTCTTTTACGATTTGATCACTTTTTACATTCTTCTAATTTTCAAAAAAAATAATACTTAAATTAAATTTTACAGTATCTTAAAACTTATTAAATTCCCTTTAAGAGATGACTTACTATTTTTTTAAAATTCTATCCATAAACATCTAGTTTACACAAAATTTCATAATAGGAGTCTCTCCTCTAATTAGACTGAGAGATTTTTCGTTTTATATTTCACAAATCATTAATAAAAGATGGCACCATATTTCTATAAAGACAAACCTTTCTAAAGAAATTTATTATTGTCAATTTTATTATTATTCATACTAAACTCAACCCTTTTTTTGTTCAATTAAAAAATTTATAAATAAGTATTTGGTATTCCAAGATTTTACCGTTATCGCCCATAATTTCGCAGACATTATAATGCAAGAAGTGGTGTTTGCAAAATTACAAATACCACTTGTTTTATTTTCGATGATATCATGATATATTGATGATAACGTTCTTGCATTTCCATCAAATACGATCAATACACTTAGGATTTTCAATTCTTTACATACAAGATTACTGTTTATTATGGAGGTTGGTGTTAACGACAGAATATGAAATGTTTTCTTGATATAACAATTATTAAAATCAGAGAATTATTATTTGATATATATCACAAAGTAACATTTTCTGGCAGGTTCCTTAATTTTCATTTGAATCACTCTTTTTATCACAAAAGAGGCATCATTAGTTCTTCAGACAAAATATTCTATTTGTTACACCCTCGCTTTTAACAAAAAAATTTGATCGTAATTCACATTTTTCTTGAAAATGATTATTCTCATTCTTTTATTTTTTCCACAATAGAAAAAAGATTAAAATTTCATAAATATTGAATAAAAATACTATACATAATTTACAAATTAAAAAAAAAATATTTTATAATTCCCTATATACATTCCATCTCAGAAAGTTTCTATCTATCTCTAACATGTTTCATTGTAAACTAGCTTTCATCATCACCAATATCTTAAAAAATTTTATTAAGAAAGGTAAGAATTAGAATTGATATAAAAGAGATATAAATTAGAACTGTTTTCGAATCAAAATGTTGTATATAAGATCTCATGTGATTATGACGTCAGTTATGTTGACCAAACAAAAAGAAAACTAATCATTAAAAAAACAGGTTCTCCACCTATTATATCTGACCATCGCGTTAATTGTAATCATAATTTCAGAATTCATGTGAAGATTTTAGATAGTGAGTCTTCTTATTACAAAAAAAAGATTGGTATCTGAAATGATTCACATTAAAAAACAGAGTCAAGGTTTAAACAAACAAAAATGATACTGAATCATTGCCAGAATCCTACTCACAAATCATATGATCTCTTTCTCCTTCATAATTATCTTTCTATACATTCTGCTCCTATGTTCCTTCTACCTATCCCCTTTTTTAATCTCACTTCCCAAATTATTTTCTAACATCAACTTTATCTTCCTTCTCTGAAAATCATTTTAAATTTATTTTGTCTAACAACATCGAAGATAAGAAACAGACGATGGTGTATATATTATATATATATATTGATGTATAAGTATATATAATATTATGATGTATATATCTTTCCTCCTTTTTTTACGTTAAGGAGAAATGATATATTGTTAAAAAAAAATGATATAATATTGTTCAAGAAATTCAGCTAAGGGAAGCGCGATCAATAATAGCAATAATAAATCAATCAGCGCATTGCGTCAATCTATCTTTATCGTTCATTAAACGTAGATATAATTTGAATTAATTCTTAATATGACTTCTTCATTTAATTTGTAAAAGTATTACAAAACATTTTACTAAAGAATCAAGATAAACCAAAAAATTAAATAAAAAAATTTTAAACCAGTAGGAGAATTCTGCTCAAATTTTACACAAATATCCATACATAATGAAATAATCTATAAAGTTTATATATATTTTTAGTATTATCACCGATGAGATATAATAGTATCTGTGATATTATTTTTAAATGTAATTCATTTTTAAACATTTTTATCAATTCGAATTCAGCCGCGTAGCGCGGTGATTACATCGCACTACGAATCAAGCGAAGGTCTGCTCGAAAAGTCTACCTTTTATTTCCTGATGTTCTTCTTCACTTTGATGGGTCCAGCTCAGTATCTACTTAGAATAGATTGAAAATACACATACATTTTTTCATGCGATTGCGATGGATGAGAAAAAGGTCCAGTAAAGCGGATGAAGATTTGAAGTGTCGGAGCACAGTGGTCAGTATGACACTTGCAGTGCCAACAAGTTAGGGGAGCGAGCGCCACATTGTTCGGCGTTGGCCCGGTTGGCCACCGCGTGTGTGGTGTGTACCTATACACGCATGACGTTTCCGCGACAGTGAAACGTCGTGGTCCGGTTTCTTGCGGTAGGCCGCTCGTCCGTCAGCCGTCTGTCTGTTGTGCCGCGTTCGCCGCTCAGTGAACATACATTCCTGTCGGCCAAGATGGTGACGATGAAGGGTCGCAAGAGCTCGAGCAAGAATCCGCCGATCCTTAGCCACGAGTTCGTCATACAAAATCATGCGGACATCGTCTCCTGCGTGGCCATGGTCTTCGTGATTGGACTCATGGTGCAGGTCGGTGGCGGCTATTCCGGCGTTTGTTCTCTGGTTTCGTTTAGAATTTATATTCGTTTCGATTTATGTTCTTTTGACAAAACAGGAGAATTGCTTTTGTGAGAATTCTCCACGAAGCTTTCGCTCTTGATTATGTTCTGTGGAAATTTGAAGGACACTTGAAAAGAAGGATGACCATATGTTACGAGTTGTTCCTGTCAAAATAAATTTGACTCGTCACACACACGCATACATTTTTATTTATTTGAGATTATTTCTTTTTTAATCTTGAGTTTTATTACATTTTTATTTTTATTACATTTTTATGAACAGTTTTAATCATGATAAATATCTTATTAGTATATAAACACATTATTTTCAATATTATATTTATAAATTTAATATGCTATTATAATTGCCTTTTTTATATTGATTTTGGAAAAGAAGAAAAGTATTTATTGAAATGTTAAAATTTATTTCGTTATACAAAATATTTAATTAATCTAATTATGTTATTAGAATGTACATTGTGGATTTTTTGAAATTACTTTATGTAGTCTATTAAATTAAAATTGGATTAAATTCAAAATTATTTTCTATATCAGGTTACGTCGCCATGGGCCTACATGTTTATTGCTATTCATCATAATGTGACCAATACTACCGAGGATCCGACAGCAGTGGTGAAATATACTACAGGATGGAAAGATGCATGTGCAGTATTCTTTTACTTCTTGATAACCATTATAATGCATGCTGTACTTCAAGAATATATATTTGATGTAAGTATAACTTGACAAAATATTATCTAGCAATAAGAATATATTTAACAATAAGAATTTAGCAATTTACGAATATATTAAACTTATCTTTCACTGATAAAATCACTTTTGTCCATAGAAAATTTCCAAACGACTTCATCTCAGTAAAGTTAAGCTTTCTAAATTTAACGAGTCCAGCCAATTAATAGTATTTTATGCATTATCTGCATTGTGGGCCATTGATATTATAATCAGGTGATACAGATTTTAATAAATAACACTAAAAAGAGATATAAGAGGAAGATCAATAGAATAACGTTTCTTTTTCTTTTAGAGAGAATATATTTTTGAACATATGGACATTATGGGAAGAATACCCAGCGCCGATGTCCGCTTCCCTAAAACTATTTTTCATTGCCCAGCTTTCTTATTGGTTGCATTGCTATCCCGAGCTCTATTTTCAACGAACTAAAAAAGAAGACATTTTACAACGTGTCGTCCATGCAACTATTGGACTAATCTTTACATTCGCAGCTTATTTCTTCAAGTAATATTATAATATATAGATTTACTTTACTTTATATTTTCGCAGAATTTGTATTAAAATATATATATTTGTTATTCTCCTCAGCTTCCAACATCTTGCTCTAATCTTATTAACTTTCCATTATGTGGGAGATGCTTTGTTACATGCAGCCAGACTGGTCCACTTTATTAGTCAAAAAGAAAAAAGAACTAAATGTAAGTTGCTTTTATTGAATTACTTGTCATTATTATACATAATAATAAATTAATATACATAATAATTAATATATTTGTCGACGTTTGTTATAGTGTCATTCTTGGTTGCCAATGCAACTTACGTATTCGCACGTATTACGACTATCGCGCTTACGTGTGTGGTGTTCCTGTATGGTCTGAGGAAACAGGAGTTTAAACTTGACTATGTTACCGGCAACTTTAATACTCCTGTTGTACAATTCTCGGCAGCAGTTATTGTCTCGCTCTTTCAAGGCTACCTTCTATATTTCTTCATTACGAAACAAATCAAGCGTGCACGCGAGAACGCTACGCCTATTGTCGTGAAGACGAAGCCGAAGCAAAAGCCGAAAAAACGAGAAGGTGAAAATCCGTAAAGTTCTTCGTTTATTTTATTATATATTTTGCTATTATTGATTTTATTTTTATTATCTACGTCAAAATTTATTTTATTGAAGTAAAATGCATGCGTATTATATCTTTGCAGGCAAGAAATCAGCCTTGTCCGAAGACGATGATCTTCCAGAAGTTGATCAGGCGACGAAGAAAAATCTGAGAAATCGTCCTTCAGCCAAAGCAAAATAGACGCTTAATAAATTAGAGAAATCATCTCTACAAGGCTGATTGGATGTTTGATTTTATTCGTCTGTATGTCACGAACATGTCAGAATGTTCGATTAAGGCTGCGGTCCATTTGCTTCTTCCAAATGCTTTAAATGCTATGCTCCAAATGCTACGCTTGGATTATCAATACATTACTGTTCCGCATGCTATAGATATATCTCTTATGTAATTTCCCTGATAAATATGTCGA